CCAGAACAGGAACCTGATGAAGAAATGGACATAGAGCCAGGAGAGGACTTTGATGACGCAGTACCAGATGCAGTTGCACAGGAACGTCGTCCCGTCTTCATTACCGGCCAGTCTTTGAACATCGATCCTGAGCTACAACTTGCACGTACCGCCATGCAGCCATCCTACTATTCTGGAAAGCGAAATGCCCATTGCATTGACGCCAACATGGCCGCTCTTTCGTATATGGCATACGTGGTATGCAGATCCATCTACAAAGCTTGGTCAGGGTTCGCAAAGTGGGCGACTATGCCGTTGTTCCAGATGAAGGAGAATTTCGCACTTGGCCAACGCTATGATGTGCTCGGAAAGTGGGGATCTTTGGCGGCAGTGGATAGGGAAACGGGTGTGAGCAAGGATGTGACTGATGAGGAGATCATTCGCTTTGCCAAGGAACCTGAGAACTTCAAGCAGTATGATCCCAACGGGACTTACACTTTGAAGCGCTTCCGGACGAATCAGATGCTTTCGTTGCTTACACGGGGAGCCAACATGATGGGAATTGGCAGGGACAACTTCAACCCTACTACGTACTTGAAGAGCAACAGGGATGAAGATGTGAAGGCTATGCACTTTTGTTGCCTGAACGTCCTGTGCGAGGTGATTCCGATGGTGACAGGACACCAACAATTCTCAGTGCTACGACCAACGCCAACTGGACCGGTGGACTTCTTGTACATCGACCCCGTCGGTATCCTGCTGACTCATTCCGATCATTCAGTCCAGACCATCGGATTGCTGGTGGACCACAATGTGCAAATGCCTGCGCATTTCATGGACAGATTGAACAGATCCAAGGCTGAGAGACAGCAAAACCCGACGACCAAGCGTACTGAAGCCCTACACCACATTTCGGCCGCTGACTATCTCCCTCCAGGTGGTACTTCCATCCTGGACACGCCTGTCACTACGGAGGAACGTGCAAGCGCTTCTTCGGCCAAGGGACCTTCAAAGGGGCGTGAGAGAACCGGAGGTGAACAGCATGGAGGCTGGAACGCCAACACCTACTATGACTACACCGCCGGCAAAGGCCGAAACAAAGGCAAGGACAAAGGAAAGCAAAGGGAACAGTATCCAGAGGAAAACCTCCGGCCCTGGGACCGCGATCCTGCGACCACGCGAAGATGGAGATGAATCAACGCTTGGTCTTCCTCGCCTATCAGTTCGTGACCTCTGAGCTTCGCCCATGGAATGCCATCGCGAATGCTTCTTTCTTCGGTGACGCCTGATTCGTTTGCCATTTCAGGGGATCGTTACTGACGTAGATGAGTGTCACAACGTTTCTAATTGGGATGCAAAGCTCTGATTTTCAATGTCAACGTTGCGGCGGAACATTTTCTGTTGTCCTATCGTGCCATCTTCCGGGTGAGCAGCGTCGGAGACGCAACTCATGGGGGGTGCGAACGGACTGCGATGCCTTGTCAAGTTCTAAGGTGTCACTATAAGAGCTGTGAGCAAGACCGTGTAAAGTGCAAGAGAAGGGGGCACGCTACGCGTCCCTCGACTCTAAGGGGGCACGCTACGCGTCCCTCATCTTTACCTTTCTATGTGACCGCCCACGCAACGTTTGGCTCAAGTCAATGCCCATAGCTAAGTGCTATAAGCGTCTTCTATCCTGAGCAATCAGAGCTATCCCGTTGCACAGACGAACCGCCGCCGGCAGTGAGTGCAAAAGGAACGGCCGCCGGTTCTGCCTGCATAGGATTGCACGCGTGGAAGTGTAAGAGAGACAGGGTCCAGTCTGTGGAGAGTGCAAGCCAACCACACCTACATTCATTACAGCTCTGGTGGGGAGAGCAGCAACCTAGTCGAGATCAATCCCCCACGCACAAGAAGTACACTGTGCAAAACCTTCTCCCTTTTCCGTTACAAAGCCGTATAGAACCCTAGTACAAGCCTATAGAGCCAAACCACGACACAAGTATGCGCAGCTCGGAGGAGCATGAGACCGTATGCATTATCGGACGCTCTGCTTCTATGCATTACATGGGCAGCATTATCTGTCAATCTGTGAAAAATGGTTGGCCGGACAATTCGATGAGATCGAAGGTGGGGCTTCGGGAGAAAAGCTGCCAAAGACAACACGCGATGTCATTGAGCTGTTTAAAGTCCAGCCTGAACCCATTCTGAACCTGCCGCTCGAACGCATGGCTGTGCAATCCATAATTCTGCATGCAAAGTATGAGTTCTTGGCACGAAAAGAAGGTCACGTAGCAGAGCCTGACACACTGTTGCTAAATCATTAGAGGACGATATGGTCTAATTACCTGTGAAAGTTGGGAGGCGTTAGTTTAGTTTTTGTGGTGTAGGTATCGGAAGCACGAGTAAGTGCTTCAAGTGCAGTGCAGGGGATGCGCAACATCGACATGTACAAGGACATGTCACATCTTGATCCAAGGGATGTTATTTGGTCTTAGTTCTCGACGCCCAGCCTTCATGAACTTTGTCGGCTCTTATAGTTCCTAAACCCTAAATCCCTCAACCCGAAACCCTATATATCCTCAGCTGGTAAACCCTATAAGCCCCCAAAGCGCGAAACCCCAAACCCTTACCCATGGACTCCATAGTAGTTCCTTTGGAGGATTACCGTATAGGGGTCTGAATATGAATCCCAAAAAAGAACTACGATGGAGCCTATACTTGGAGGATCAGAGGACTTAGTAAGTAGGGTTGTCAGTAAGGTAACTGTAGTTATATTCACCTAAACCTTAATCAAGGTTTTTAACCCTATGTACGAAGTCCCCATGAAGCTTTAATTTAAGTAGGTAGTAAGAACTACAATGGAGCCTATAAGCCCCTAAACCCTAAGCCCTTCTAGGACCCAGAGTAGGCGCTTATTCCCTTTGTTAGCGTTCAGGTTCCCTTATAACCCCCTTCAAACCAAAAAGGGCACCCTTTTTATTCCTAGGTTACTCTTCGTTCTAGCCTTAGTAATGCTTTGTAGCCTTAGTACTGCTTTGAAAGTTAAGCCGTCGATCTCCTTTGGTTGGGGATTTCGCGCCGTGTTGGAGAGTCCTTGCTTTCCTTAGCCTAGGGGCCTAAATAATTACCTATATCATTTTGGGGGTTCCTGATTATAGTTATAGTATAATGGGCCCCAAAACACTATTCTAATTATTCAGGCCCCTAAATGAGCTCCTTTGGTATAGGGTCCCTGTCAACCCACTCATTGCTACTTTGGGCATCAACCACCCCGAACCCAGAATCCGAAACCTGAAACCATAATTCAATCTCGGTGACGCAATGCTTCAATGCTCGCATCACCTCGTTTCATCTGTTGACTTTAGGTTCCGGGTCGCCGAGACACCATGAGGTTGATCACATTCGAAACTGAAGACGGGTTCTATGCTTGGTGGTATGGGACCTGGAAGTCGTACAAGTGCAGCTATTCGGACATTCGCAGATGTGTAGGCATCAAGGGGCGTTCTGTTGACGTCTCTGGAGCAGATACTGACCATGCTGAGTGATGGGGATGCGCCGACAACTCTACCTTCATGGTTTGAGATGGACGCTCTCATCGAAAGACGCCTATCAAAAGCTCAACAATACATAGACTTGCAGACCATTATCGCTCTCATGAGGGAAACCCTGCCGGCCCTACCCGCCGAACCAGGCCCGCGGCAACAACAGTTGCAGCAGCAGTATCTAACAGGAGCAACAAAAACACGACAGAGGAAATACCAGCAGCAACAGCAATCGCAGCTGCAATACCCGACCTTGCCGCCCGCCCTCACAGCCGCAAACACTGATGCCACCCCCACCCACCATCACACGCAACACCATCAGGAGCGGCGGATAGAAGCCGCCCTATTCAACAGCCGGACCAGGGTTTTGGGTTCAGGTTTGGGGGTTTATGGGTCTTTGGGATTCTGCTCCCCTGGGTGCAGGAGTTTCGGCATGAGCGCGTGCCAGAAGATGTGCTGGACCCCAAGATCGAGATGGAGTTTCCGAAGACTAGGGTACCTTAGTTTGGGGTCCAAATAGTAAGGATCCCAGTAAGCAGGGGAACATTTTAGGGTCCCCTATTTTCGGAAACTCCCAGATACGTAGGGTTTAGAGGCGTAGGGTGTAGGGACACTGGGTTCAAGTTGTAGGGTTGGGGTTTAGGAATACTGGGTTCAGGGTTGCGATGGAGGTCTGAAAAGTAACAGCATTCCCTTACAGTCCCTGCGTGAAGATTCGATGTACCCAAAACCGCAGTCTTATGCTGTTCTCATCGAGATTATGCGAATGGCTATGCTTTTGAGATCAAAACTGGGAAAGGGTGAACAAAGCGTCGAAATTGGGACCGTATGTAGTTTGGTTATTTGCTTCAGTACAGACTGCCCTGAGGGACTTTAGGTGGTTTGCTTATGGCCAGATTGCACGAGCTTTTTGCACTGGCTTGCAACTTCTCCTGCGAGTTCAGCACCACAACAGGGGTAGTTCTCAAATCGCTGTGGCGGAAAGCCGATTTAGAAGCACGGGTGCTCCCAAAATGGCAGGAAACAGCAGCAATCAGGGCCACTACACGCCTCCCGCTGTGGTGAAATGCAAATTGGGGTCCCTGTTGTTGGCTGCTTTGGTGGAAAACCTGCCAGTGCGCCAAGTATTCAACTTTGTATTGTTTATGGAGGGTGTCGAGTTGGCATAAAACCTAGTTTTAGGTCCAGCAGAACCCGGGTCCCATGTGTGCAAACAGGCTTCCAGACAAGGCTATCTTCAATCAACTGCCGTTTGGGGTGTCGCGAGTATCATGAGACCAGAAACTCTATTACTTCTTGAGTTGATTGAGGATCCCTTGGTGAAGGAACCCGATACGATTCAGGCATGCATCCCTTTATCAACGCCATCCGGAAGTCTCGAAAACAAACAAGTGCTAGAAGCTATAGATACAGGGAACCTTAGTTTAGGTTGCATGAGCCATACACCCCTCGACCCCGGATTCTTTACGTGACTTCCATTAGCCAGCCAGGCTGCGGATGATTGTCGCCGACTTGGCAGAGCGCCTTTTCGCAGAGGCGATGTTGAGTTTAGGATTTGGGGTGAACGGCTGAGAGCGTAAGTAAAAATGTAGGGCTGGCGTCTTTAAGGTTTTGGGTCTGGGGCTTCAGGTTTGAGTAGTATTTCTGAATCGTAGACCCCGCAGCATACCTTCAAACAATCCTGCTAACCAAAAGAAGCCCTACAGACCCTAAACCCTTTAGTTTTGGGGGTTCAGGGTTTGAACGAACATTCTTTGCCGGCCTGTTCGGCATTTAGAACCTATATGGTCGGATCCTTCGTACAATTATTCAGAACCCCGACTTTCGCAGCCAAAAAGCTTCAGTGCTGAAGCTTTTCGAGCATCGTGCGCTGTTCTTGACTTGGGGAGGATGAAACCCCGGAGCCGTCTTGAGGTGGACGTGAACGGCGATGGCACGCTCACAGTGGAGGTTCCTTTCACGGTCGGGGCTTTAAAGTTTAAGGTTTGGGGTTCAGGGTTACTTCAAAGTTATCGTACACGCTTAGGGCCCCCAACCCAAATTAAGGTACTTATAACCCGACTTACTCGGCTCCATGATCCTCTCAATTTAGAGTATTGTAGAAGGCTGTTTTCCCACCCTCCGATCTCCATCCACCACGCCACTCCCCCGCTCCTCCTCCACCCCTCCGCCCCTCCACCTGGTTCAGTGGGAGGGGCGGGAGGGTGAACGGTGGAGGGGTGGAGGAGGGAGGGAGGGGGCTCCGTTCATCTAAACCATTTAAACTGGGCTCGGCCCCAAGCCAACAGAGGTAGTGTGCCATATCTGTTTAGGTATCTAAACTCCGTATATAAACGTCGTCGCCGTAGTAGTAGACACCTTCAGCCCCAAGCCGAAAACTTTATGCAAAGCTTAAGCACACAGTGCCCAAACCTTAACCCGTAGGATTTGAGACTTGCGGTTTTTTCAGGATTTGAGACTTGCGGTTTTTTTTCAGGATTGCAGAGGAGGGCTGGAATTCAAATCTCAAAAGGATAGAAAGCACTCAAGCTCCAAACCCGTAGCTCTGTCTTGTCCTGTTTTGGGGTTCCCGGAGACTCCGAAACCCATCAATAGAGAAATTTACTTAAAATCAGGGGTTCCCAGAGATTTAAAAAACCCATCAATAGAGAAACTTATTTGAAATCATAGTAGGGGCCCGACGATATTTGAAGGGGTTTAGGAGTCTCTGGGTTCGTGGCCTGGACTAGAAGGAGATCGGCGTGGCCATCCGACGGAGAAGAACAGAGGCTGTCTTCGTCTGGGGGCTGCAGGGGTTGAAAGATATAGAGGTTTGGCTCATGAGCTCTAAGGAGTCTTTAAACTTTAAACCCCCAAACCCTAAACCCAAAGCCAACTGGAAATGCATGTTAGCGTTCACCGGCTACTTTCATTCAGGTGTGACGGATAAAACACGGACACCTAAACGTCTTAAAGCTCGAGGATGGAGGCGACCTGCCGCTTTGAGCGAAAGTTTGGAAGTTCCGGAAAATAATCAGGGCCTCTTTGTATTTTAAAAAGACCTTCGTCTTGCTCAGGGTCTGGGATGGTGTCTCCCGGCAGCCCACGTTGAGAGGGTCCGACATGGTCACCAAAGCATATCCGACCCTGGCCACGTGCATGTCGGACCCTGACTATATAAGGCTATACGACTTAGGAAGATATCACATTGCACCGCCTGTTCTCCATTGTTTCGGGCGCAGGCTCGGACAGACAGGCTGCAATACGGCAGATAGACATGCAAGAACGTGTTTCCGAACAGTGGGTCATAATCAACCACTTGCTTTGTGGGACATGTGCTTTCATTTAGCCCAAGCCATAGCTAAGCAACGCAGACGGTATGGGGATAGCGACTAGGAAGGTTGTTTTGCAATCCAAACGAGGGAATCCTTCGTTTGGATTGAAGACTCGCGCCTGCGTGAGCCCCGGGCTTGGGCGGCTTGACATGTAGCCAAAATCGGCCAGGGTCGGACATGCTCCGTGTAAAACAACGACAAACCCTAGCAGCGAGCATTTCCGACCCTACAAATAGGGTCGGTTATGCTGGATCCAGGAGGGCCCTAAGAACATCGTGGGTTTTTTTAAAAGATGAAAGGGAATCCTGGGGCCTGTAAGTTGACACCTCTTGGGAAACTCGGGTGTTGAGACGTATTGTTCCCCTCCTCCTCGGAACCTTAAAGCTTACCAAGACCCCCAGCTACTCTTTAATGACTCTCCTATACCCCAAATACCCACCATTAAGGGCCATAAGGACTCTATCAAAGGGCCCTTGGGCGGTCCTGGTAAACCCTTCCGTCTAAGCTCCCAAAAGTCTAAACCCAAAACCCTAAAGCCGTAAAGCTCAAACCCCCCCGTCTAAGCTTGTAACAGTGATCCTGCGGAGGCTTTGAGACGGCAGCAGAAGCAGCAATGGTTTCGTCGCGGCCTTGATATTGCTGAGTTAGGATTCAGGGTTTAGGGGTTTAGGGTTTTGTTTTTGGGGTTTAGGGTGACAGTATACCCGTGTATACCCGTGCGAATGCAACTCATATGAGAGACGCCCCTAAAATGGTCGTCCACACAGGTCGGCCTCCTGCACAGGGTAGGCCCCACATACCTGCAATACCCGCTACTCAAGAAGTAGCATCCGCTTTAGGGCTTGCCTAGCTGCTGAGGTTGTAACCGTTCATCTGAGAGTTTCCAAAGATTAGGGGTACATTATTTGGGGGTTCTGATAATAAGGATCCTACTATTTCGGGCAGTATATCAGGGCCCCCTATTTTCGGAAACCTCCATCTGAGGCAGCTGCAATCCCAAATCCCGGGCTCATCCTCTTGCAGCGTAATGGGCCTATTCTAGTTACTAAATGCCCCTATAGTACCTGTTTGGACACAAAAAGCAGTGGGATAAGAGGTAGAAGAAGATGTCAATCCTGCCCTACGGTCCCGACTAAGCCTTGCATTACATGCTGTCCTAAGCCAAGACCCCAAACCCTAAAGGGCTGGGCTCAGTTCAAGAACAACTTGGTTGTGTTTATTTCCGCTTGCAGCCTCTAGCTGTCTCTGACACTGACGGCTCGTGGCCCAGACGACACGCAGTTACAGCACACATCAACGCAACATCTCTGCAGCAGCTGCAGTGACTCCAGTCACAACGTCATAGTTAAGGCCATGAGTAGGACTTCTTGCTTGTGGGTCCTAGTGTTTGAGGCCTGGGGTTTAGTCTTCGTGTTTATGGTTAGCGTTTGGGGTTCTGAGGTTTCCTCTTCGGCTGCGCCGTCGTAGAATATGTCCCAAAAGCCCATTCTCATTATGCAGGCCGCTAGATTAAACCCTAAACCCGAAGCCCTAGACCGTCCCCAAACCGTAAACCGCCATCAGAACATATTTGAGCAAGTCCTTCGGCTAGTATCCGAAGGAAAGCAGATCTCCTCCATTCAGCAGACGCTGCAGCCTCGGAGCAGGGTATGGGATTCAGAATTTAGGGTGCCCACAGTAGACTTATGGGTACACACTCCCTAGCGAAACATGGACAAAAATCGAGGACCATCTTCGACTTCTCAGGCCCCCCGTTTATTATTCTAACTCCACTTCTACAGACCTTCTCGGTCCCCTGATGCTTTGACCAGGCTTCGGGTGCATGGGCACCACGCTTTCAATTTTTGGGGGCCTAAAGGTTGTTGGGTGCATGTTGTCGAATTCAGCGCAGGTTTTGAGTTCAGAAGGGTTTCTTTTGGGTTTGGGGATGTTTGGGGTTGAGGGAACGAAGGAGTAGGACCCTTATGAACAGGATCCCAGGATAAGACCCCCTGAGTAGTGGAATTGTTAACATAATTAACAGAGAATCCTGGTTAAGTAGGGTTATAAGTGCCTCAATTAAGGTTGTAAGTAGATGTAACTATAGTTACCTTACTTATAACCCTAGTTATTGGATCCCAAGGGTGGGCCTCCAGAAAGAGGGTGGCAACAAGGCCCACGAAGAGGCGGTCCTGCTCTCAGCAAGGGGTTCCTGGATCGCTTCAGCTCTCCGAAAGCCCCAAGTCCTGAAAATGGAAACTAGACCCGAAATCCTAGTCTTTCTTAAGTTCCTATGTTGGTCTAAACTCTCCTTCTGTCACTTCGCAACGGAGCGGAGGGTCAGAAAAAGGAGCTCAACAAAAAGCTATAGTTCGGCAAGATGGCCCTTCCTGTCCTCGAAGTAGGGAAAGTACAGGTGCGTGTTGAGGACTTCTGGGGGGGCCGTAGCCATAGGCACCAAATTCGGGCCGTTCGTGAGACCTCAAGTCCGCAGACTTGCAACTTTAGGGTTCAACCATTTGAGCACCTGACTTAGGGAGGCCTGGGAGGAATGCTTTCGTCTAAGCGGCATTTAAAACTAAAGCTGAGAACCTCAAAGCTGAGCGACGCAAGCATTTGACGACTACCTGTCTCAGGCCCTGCTTCCTACTAGGTGGACATGCGACCTCATTTTGATAGCCATCAGTCAAAAGCCTACCACACCCTAAACAAATCCTGTATCCTCGGCACACACTCAGACCAAAATTTCCTGAGCCCAAACATTCCTGGCCTTCAAGACCCTACACCGCAAACGGTGTTGTATAACCTTTCAACCCCACCTTTAAACCACCACAAACCCCCTTAATCTTTTTTCACACTCCATCAAACCCTTTCATCATACACGAATTAAAGCCCATGTCAAGCTTACAAAGCCCTGCAGAAAAGAAGCAGCCTTCAGGTAAAGGAGGCCAAGCACGAAGAACTCCAGGCTCGTTCGAGGGAGATGAAACGCCGCTGGGGACCCCAGCCAGACCAGAGGCTTGAAAGAATAGGATTTTTTTAGATTTTAGGTTTCAGGGATTTGGGATTGTTTTAAAGGGTTTAGGGCTTTAAGAGTTTAGGGATTTGGGGTTTTAGGATTTCAAGTTTCAGGGATTTGGGGTTTTAGGGATGGTTTCGAGTTTAGGCCTTTAGCGTGTAGAGCCTCGGACCTAAGCTCCAGGGTTTAGGATTCAGGGCCTGTGCCTTTAGGTTTTCGGTTTGAGGGTTTAGCGCCCCAGTGCAAGTGGGGGTGTGCGAAAAGCCCACTACTACTGTACTTCAAGAAGAAATGGACTCGAAATCCTGAACCCTAAACCCCAAATCCCCTACTCCCCTTAACCCCTCAGCCCTGAACCCTAAACCCGAAACCCTAAGCCCTTAAACCCTAAACCCCAAACCCGAAGCCATGCCGAAACCTGAATAAACGGAGATCCGAGCCAAGGCCTCGAATGGCAGGCTGAGGTGGAGAAGATTCACCTTCCCGATGCTTCCGTGACTCACTTGCAGACGGTTTAGGGTTTTAGGGTTTACGGCTCGGGGTTCAGGGTTTGATGTCAGGGGTGCCTTTTTATGATACCGGGGTACTTAACTGCTACACCGCCGCAAGACCGCACTTAGAGCCTGGCTTCTTGCTGGATTGAAACTCCATTCGGAATTCACATGTGCTTCAAAAAGGCCGACCATTTTCGAAACAAAGAACAAGAGACGAGTCATCAATTTTGATGGATTCGTGTTTTGCTAGTGCCGAGCTCCCTGCTAGTGCCGAACTCCCTAAACCCAAAACTCGCAACCCCCCCCCCCCCCCCCCCAATACCGGGAACCTCATCAGTCATCTTACTTTATTTGTGATTGCTTCCGTTTTGCGCCTCGCCGGTTCAGAGGATCTTCGCGCATCCTGCTGGCCTTTTCGGGCCTCTCCCCCGCTCCTTTCGTGCCTTTCTCCATGCTCTTTATTGCGAAGAATGCCGTGCTTAGAAGAGCAGATCTTGAGAACTTCCATTGCCAGGATCGTGATTCAGGACTCCGATGACTTTCAGATCCTGTTGAGATAAGATGCTCGCATATTCACATGTTGTGATGTAGAAAGAATAGCAGTCAGACCAGGACGCATGTTCGACCAAAGTCAATAGTAGCAGCACAAGTACTATCTTCGGTGGTAATCACAGTAGTTCTAGTATTGTCAATATTCATCACCAGCTTTTTCGGGAGCTTAGGTACGTCGACAATCGGGGACCTAATAGCTTAATCTCTACTCGTTTGTTTTTGTCGGGGGTAGGCTTTAGGGTTTCGGTTTATGGTTCAAGGCTTCGGGGACAACTTGTAGTTATTGGCACCCGACCTAGATTATCCTGTGGTCCTTTTTGCTGCATGTTTTTGAGGGTTCCTCCTCTAGCCGCCACTAAGCTCGATGCCTCCAACCCCGTCCACCAACTGACCTTGCATGTTGAGTTGAGTTCAACCATGTTCAACCCAAAACATGCACATTCGTCCTAGCCAGCTTGGAAGGCCTCTTCACAATGAAACCTAGAAGGGCCTTTGTAGATGCACGTACCACGGCCAGAACATCACTTGGGAGCTATTGCAGACCTTCGGGCCCCCGTCGCCGATGTGGTTTCGGAGCCGTTTGCTCAGAGACTTGCCGGCCGCACTGTGGCGTTTGCCTGAAGCTCAGCTTCTCTGCAGGGTGCCTCCTCTCTGGTGGAGGAAGGGGCGGCCGAGGACGGTGCACCGCAGCTACGCGGAGGTGGAGCTCTTGTCCCGCCTTGCAGAGTTGCTGATGCCGCAGACACCCATCGCCGAGCTGTTTCGCGATTTCCCGGTAAGGAGATCGGAATTGTGGAGATCGCCATGGTTGAGTCCGGACATCTCTGCCTTTGGCGTGCTGAAGGAGGAACATGCAGCGTTGTTCATCGAGTACGACGGGTTCTTTCGTCATGCTGAGCTGCATGGGCGAGAAAGGGATGAACGCAAGACGGCAGCTTTGCTTCGACATGCACCCCCTGGTTCGCGTGTCCTGCGAGTCAACCATATGAATACGAATCGGGACTTGGGCAGCGTGGAAAACGCGGCACACGCAGTCGTCGATGTCTGGCGCGCGCGGCACGAGCCGTCGTTGACGAAAGTTGTGCTACAAACTGTACGAGCCCTTCTTCGGAGTTTCGGACATGAGCTCGAACAGGACGTGTGCCAGCGTCTCAGTGGCTTTGCAGTCGCCCAGCCGAAGCCAGATCTTTTGAGAGGCTCAGCTTTTGCAATTGAGGCAGTGCTGACCAGGGACGTTGAGACCAAAAGATCTGACATTTGCGACTTTCTGGAAGGGGAGCTGCAGTTCTCAAGCACAGAAATTGAGGCTTTGGCACGCAAGTTTCCAAGAATCTGGGGTGTAAGTATCGACAGCCGCTTCAGGCTTGCAGTGGCATGGCTCGAGGATGTTGGCTTGAGCCGAGAACAGGTGGGCAAAGTGGTTGCTGGCTTTCCTCAAGTCTTGGGCTGCAGTATCGAGAGCAATCTTAAACCCACTGTGGCCTGGCTCGAGGATGTTGGGCTGAGCAGGAAACAGGTGGCCAAAGTCGCTGCTCGCTTTCCTGCAGTGCTGGGCTACAGCATCGAGGACAACCTCAAACCCACCGTGGCTTGGCTCGAGGATGTTGGGCTGAGCCGAGAACAGGTGGGCAAAGTGGTTGCTGGCTTTCCTCAAGTCTTGGGCTGCAGCATCGAGGACAACCTCAAACCCACCGTGGCCTGGCTCGAGGATGTTGGGCTGAGCAGGAAACAGGTGGCCAAAGTGGTTGCGGGCCATCCAGCAGTGTTGGGCTGCAGCATCGAGAACAACCTCCAACCCACCGTGGCCTGGCTCGAGGATGTTGGACTGAGCCGGAAACAGGTGGCCAAAGTCGCTGCTCGCTTTCCTGCAGTGCTGGGCTACAGCATCGAGGACAAACTCAAGCCCACCGTGGCTTGGCTCGAGGATGTTGGGCTGAGCCGAATACAGGTGAGCAAAGTGGTTGGTGGCTTTCCTCAAGTCTTGGGCTGCAGTATCGAGAGCAATCTTAAACCCACTGTGGCCTGGCTTGAAGAGGTTGGGCTGAGCCGCGAGCAGGTTGCTAAAGTCGTTGCTGGTTTTCCTACATTGTTGGGATGCAGCATCAAGAACAACTTGTCACGGAAGCATCTGCTTTTGCAGCAGTTTTTCTCAAGTGCGGAGATCTGCACCATGGTAAGGTACCTTCCACCGCTGCTCTGTCTCAGCCATTGTCGTTTGAGTCATCGCTTGAAGATCCTGCAGAAGCACGACCGCTTAAGCGAACTTGCCAGGATCATGGCTCTGAGTGATATGACCTTTGCCCGACGGTTCCCTCATTGAGCTGCGTCCTGAAGTGCCGCCAGAGGCATCGTAGTTTTCCTGCACTTCTCGAATTCCATCAATTACGTGTCCATGCTCGCGACAAAAAAGTTGACTTCCCAACACCCATAATCCTCGATCACAGACATATTCGGGTTAAGGGATTATCAGGCAAAGACTTCATCGCAGAACCTTCCCAACATCCAGCACCGAGAGATACACATGTCACAAGCTGTGCTGGCAGTGCTGAAACCTTGCCGCGGCTCCCAGGGAAAGGGGTGGCTTTGGGGTTTCTGGCGGTTTCCCGGCTTTTCGGTTTAGGACGTAGGATGGTGTGGAGCCCGAGTTGTGGGGTCTTCAGGGGCTGTTGAATCTGTCGTTCCTCTTTGGGCTGCGCTGTTTCGGAGTTCGGGCTGAGGGTTGCCAGTTCAACAAATAGCATATACGAGCATGAAAGCAACAATGCAGCGCGTTCACCCGGAGTCCGAAAGCATGAATCCTGGGTTCGAAAGCGCTGTAGACCGCAAACAGACAATCCCACATTTCTCAAACCCCAACACAACATCACTAACACCAGAGCCCTAAATCCTGTATCGCCAGACCCCAAGGCCCTGAACCCTACATCCCTTTGCATTCAAACCCTCGACCTCAAGCCCAGGTGGACCTAGATGTTGGTGTATCTGTCAGCCTGGCTTGAGCAATCCGCGTTTCTCTGCTTGAGTTTAGGAGTCACAGTTTTTGCTTTTGTTTGGAAGAGTATTTAGATCTAATATAGCGGCCTAGATACTTATCAATACTATTGTGGGGGTTCTAATTCCTAGCCCAAGTATTAAGGCCCCTATACTGTATCAAGTTTCAAGCTCAGGATTCAGATTGTGTGTTAGGATTTCCAGGCTGGCTTAGGATTCAGCGTGTCTTGTTAGGGTGCTGCTGTGAGTTAGAGACTCAGTTTCATCGTTTTGAACGGGGATCTGATTGAACTTGAAATGTGGGGGAGGTCCAGGTCTAAAGTTGTGGCTGAGTGCATTATTTTGATGGTTTAGGGTTTGGGGTTTACGGTTCAGGGATTCGAGTTTAGGGATTCGGGCATTAGGGTTTCGGGTTTGGGGTTTTTTCTTGCAACTTCGGAGGCTGTCGTGCTTTGACGTCCAGCAGCGCGTCTTTGGCGATTTCTCGCACCAGCAGCCAAAGCTCGGTTCTTCTGCATCGTGCTGGGTGGAAATTGCTTCTGGAACACGGCACCCTGGGCTTGCTCTTCAACTGAAAATACACAGGTGGAGCTCAGTCGGCTCGGATTCTCTGCGACTTTGGACGAGGTTTCTACAGTACTTCTCCACAGCAGCAACTATGGAGAAAGGATACCTGCAGACCGGAAGAAAAACTTGCCAGAAGATCTGCAGTGTCTCTTCCATGATGCCCTCGATGGCTCCATCGACTTCAACGGTGCTAATTATTCCTGCAAAGACCACTGTTGCGTCGCATGAGTCGGTGAACGAAGAGGAGAATGTGATTGAGGGCCGAGCTCTGCAGCAAGTCTTGGCTACAATGGCCACATTGCAAGAATCTACTCTCTGAAGTTCCTTAACCTATTCCATGCTACAATTACCCAACCACCAAAAAGATTGTTCTAGTTATTCAAGGCCCGCACATGCTTGAAACTTGTGAGTATCGGCTACGGCCTCAGGCCGGCCAGCACATATTTTGGGTGATACGGGATTAGGGGTTTAGGGTTTAGGGCAAAAATCAGAAGTCGAATTGGCGAAAGCGATTGAGCCCGTATACCGTAGAGCCTAAACCGTCCAGCAAAGTCTGGTCTGGTCACCAGCTCCGAACAAAACCTCCTTGCAGTTTCACCGAAGCTTCGACAAGAACTGTGGTGTGCAACTGGCTTCGAAATTTATAGGCAAAGGTTCCAGTTTGGGAACCATACAGAAGGTACCACCAACCTCGTTGGTCGACAGCTTTTCATACAGATTTAGGGTTTGGGGTTATTAGGGTTCACAGACTGGCATGGTTTAGGGTTTTAGGGTTGCAGGTTTTGGGTGTCAGGCATTCTGGGTCATTCATGAATTCGGCTTATCCCCATCACGGCGAACACGTCAACCCCGAGGGATTGACGGTCATCCTTGTGGGCGAGCGAGCACCCCTTACTGGGGTTGGTATGATGCCCTAAACCCTAAATCTTACACCACAAGCTCTGTGAAACACGAAGGATGCTAGTGAACAGTTTCTAATCTTTAGAAGATTCTACAGAAGGCCTCTGCATCCACCCTGCAGAATACCGAGCGAAGATGCAGGCTACAAAGCACAGAGCAATATTGACTTGTTTGCACCTGCCGCTGGATAGGACAAAAAATCTTTAAACTCCGAAGCAAATTAAACGTCACAGGCCCAGCTTCTCTAAACCCCAAACCCTAATCCCGAAACCCTCTCCCTACACCCTAAACCCAGGTTCGTCAATTTCAATCGCAAGTCTTAACCCCAAAGCTGCTTAGATTCAGGGTGTTTGTAACAGAAGGCTGAGCCCAAAACTCGGGAACTCATCATTCGCAGGAAACAAGGGTTCTTCAATTTGGTTGTGGTTCCTTTCAACTGCATATTTGATACATAGATGCAGCGATTTGAAACTTAGAGTTAGCTTATGCATGGCCCCTATATAGCTAGAGCTCCGGGCCGAAAACCTGAAC